ACTATTTTTACGACTACCATACTCAGAGCTGCTTGAAAAACGTGTTTTTCGCTCTCGGGCCAACCGTCGTCTAGTTCATGGTTTTGGGTCTTAGGAAGGGGTCCGGAACGGAAAACTGGACATCTTGACGGCCTTGGTGCCAACATAGGGCCAACATCGGCCAAGATGTGGGCTACATGGGTCAACATAAGGCTAAGATAGGGGCAAGCCTGCGCCAACATAGGGCCAACATCGGCCAAGATGTGGGCTACATGGGCCGACATAAGGCCAAGATAGGGACTACATAAGGCTAAGATAGGGGCAAGCCTGCGCCAACATAGGGCCAACATCGGCCAAGATGTGGGCTACATGGGCCGACATAAGGCCAAGATAGGGACTACATAGGCCAAGATAGGGCCAACATCGGCCAAGATGTGGGCTACATGGGCCAACCTAGGGCCAAGACAGGGGCAAAACTGCGCCCAAATAGGGCCAACATCGGCCAACAACAACAACAACAACACCAACAACAACCACAACAACAACAACAACAACAACAACCACCACAACCTAGGGCCAAGACAGGGGCAAACCTGCGCCCAAATACAACAACAACAACAACAACGACAACAAAAAACAAGGACGACAACGACAACAACAACAACAACAACACCAACAACAACAACAACAACAACAACAAACAACAACAGACAAACAACAAAAAAACAACAACAACAACAACAAACAACAACAACAACCCAAAACAACACAACAACAACAACAACACCAACAACAACCACAACAACAACAACAACACAAACACACAACAAATACAACAACAACGACAACAACAACACGACAAACAACAACAACAACAACAACAACAACAACAACAACAACCTCGGGCCAAGACAGGGGCAAACCTGCGCCCAAATACAACATCAACAACAACAACAACAACAACAACCAACAACAACAACACCACCAACAACAACAACCAACAACAACAACAACAACAACAACAACAACAACAACAACACAACAACAACAAACAACAACAACAACAACAACAACAACACCAACAACCAACAACAACAACAACAACAACAACAACAACAACAACAACAACAACAACAACAACAACAACAACAACAACAACAACAACAACAACAACAACAACAACAACAACAACAACAACCACAACCACACCAAGACGCCAACCTACACGCAACAACACCCCCCACCACCACCAGCCGGGGTCGAATTCAAACCCGGCTCGGCCTGACGGGTCTGCTTTTGCCGGCGCCCGGCTGTCAGGCGTAAGCCTCATAAATCCGGGCGCCGGCCCCGGGGCCGTGCCCGTGGCATTGCCGGAGGCCTTCGGTTGGTAACCGAAGGTTAAATAGGCTGGCCGCCGCCCCTGCCGCCGACCACCTCGTACTTACCTCGTGTCGATTCCGGTTCACTCCCGACCCACGATTATCGTTGTAATTTACAGTGTATTCTGCGTGTGGTGTTCAAAAAACATCGTTTTTTACAGGGTTTTGTGGCCTTTGCCGTCTCCAGGTTTCATCTTGGCGACGTTAAAAAACCATGGGTTTTTCATGGTTTTGGGTCTTCGGAAGGGGTCCGGAACGGAAAACTGGACATCTGGACGGCCTTGGTGTCAACATAGGGCCAACATCGGCCAAGATGTGGGCTACATGGGTCAACATAAGGCTAAGATAGGGGCAAGCCTGCGCCAACATAGGGCCAACATCGGCCAAGATGTGGGCTACATGGGCCGACATAAGGGCTACATGGGTCAACATAAGGCTAAGATAGGGGCAAGCCTGCGCCAACATAGGGCCAACATCGGCCAAGATGTGGGCTACATGGGCCGACATAAGGGCAAGATAGGGACTACATAGGCCAAGATAGGGCCAACATCGGTCAAGATGTGGGCTACCTGGGTTGACATGACGCCAAGATGTGGGCTACATGGGCCAACCTAGGGCCAAGACAGGGGCACACCTGCGCCCAAATAGGGCCAACATCGGCCAACAACAACAACAAAAAAAAACCGACGACCACGACGACAACAACAACAACAACACCAGAACATGGACATGGATTACACCCAACGCATACCTTCCACGGGTCTGCTTTGGCCGGCGCCCGGCTGTCAGGCGTAAGCCTCATAATATGTTTTCTTTTAGAGTTGATTCTCAACACACTTCTGCTTAGTATCTGTCTAGTCTACTTAGTCTACTTGAACTTGTTTGAAGTGCTTGGCAAATGGTTCAAGTCAAACACCTTAACAGCTTCATTCTGGAGAGTTTGGTTTTCAAACAGTTTTGGGGGTAGTGTTGTGTAAAACAGCGGATATCATAGGTCCTCAGTGAAGCTTCAAGAACAGCATGCATCACAAAGCCCCTGCAGGCTTTCGCCAAAGAACACGGCAGCCATGTCAATGAAACGCCCTTTGCTTTGCACCATGTTTACAAATCCATCTCAATTCGCTATTTTGGAACCAAACAAAATCCACCAGTTCTCGGTTTTAACAGTGAACAGCGCCTCGGCTGGGGAACTCGATGTTTGAGCCGCTACCTGGCACAGCTTGCAGCGACCTCTGATCTGAACAAAGATGGCATACTGGTGACCTACGCTGGTCCAGGTACAAAGTAACATTAGGAAAACCCACTAGAAAGATCTAAAAAGTCAGATGAAAAGATCAGGTCTCATGGCGGGTGCGTCACTCTTCAAAAATTGTATACAGCATTTCCACGCATGCACCGGGTTTCAGATTTGCTACAGTAGCGTCACAATGATTTCCATAGACTTGTCACTTCTTGGCAGGTATATCAACTATAGTCAGCATCAACTCCAATGATATACAGAGACTTACATGAACCAACAGATGCCCTTGACATCGTTAAGCAGATCGAAGACAGACAAACATGGGCAATCCTTGGAAATTATTCGCCAAGGAACTCAGTGAAACAATTCCTGACGTAATCCCAACATCTTGTCGTGTCCTTGCAGCACAGCCGGGACTCCCTGCCGAGCTTTCGTGGCCATGGCTTTTTTCAGCCATGTGGCGGACCGGCGGACCGGCAACGGACCGGAAACCGTCGCCAGGGATGGTGAAACTCGGTGAAACTGCAGGGTAAAACCGAAAAAAAAAACTCATTCGGCAAAGATATGATTCGATGGATTCGATGGAATCGATGGAATCGATGAACACTTGGTATCAAAATATCTATTTTGAAGGAGGAAATGGAATGATCCGCCTGGAATGATCGGGAGTAGATCAATTGATAGGAAGCTGGAAATGGGCCAATCCCTTGATTTTCAATATTTTTAGAAGTTGAAGCAGTGAGTCTGAAACAGACATAAGTTGTGGATTCTGAAATATTCTGAAGCACTGGCTCATCTTCACATCCTGCACCGGCTCGTGTGTTGATACAATCAGTGCTGTGGCCATCCTCATCAGCTTCAATGTCCAGCAGCAGATGGTCCAGATGATCCAGTCAGCGATTGCTCCGTGGAAAATAAAAAACACACCACAAGTACAAAATCAACCGGGTTTTGTCCAATAAATAATGGAGTACCCAAAATAAAAAAATGGATACTATAATTTGTTCTTCACTTAAAAACTTCATTGATGAAAAAAAGTTGATGTAAACGTTGCTTTGATATGTTTCACCTGTCTTGATCTGTGCCATTTTAAGAACTCAAAGATGAGCAGTTTCGACCGAGGATGTTCTACAAGCAACAGTGACAAACCTGTTTTTCTTATGTCTGTCTTAAACTGGTGTATACCATTGTATACCCCCATAATATTTTAAGTAAAATGATGATAAACCATGGGATTTTGTTGTAATTGGCCAACTCATTCGTCTCCTGCATCCATGGCCCCATATGACCTTCAGGCAGATGGATCTCTTCCAGCGCCCATCTTTTGCCCATCGCAAGGTCAGTTCCCCATCTGCGAAACAAAGTCGTAGAAATGCGCGAAAAACCCGGCGGGAACAGAAAAAATGGGAATGGCCAAACAACAGAAATCCCAGATTATAAGCGGGAAAATTTGTTCCTGGCCTTCTTTCATTCTTGGACCAGTAGATAACTTAAGTGGTCTTCTAGTCGAGGTTTTTCCAGGTGAAGACGCACGGAGTGAGTCTCTCACTCTGGGTGGAAAAATGTGTTATGAGAATCTTGCAGTATTTAAGCATGACACATTGACATGAAGTAAATCAGATGGTATTCCGAAATTGGAGGCTCTACATCAGCAACAAAAGATGTTGATGTGCTCAGACCAAATGGTGACTGGTCAGAGATGACTTTCAAACATCCGCAGGTGCTGTGAAGATATCAAACTCTCCAGCAACTGCCGATGGCGCTATGGGATGAGATAGGCTGGTTTTCAAGCAAAATAGAGTACCCTCTGGTAAACTAACATAGCTATTGAAAATGGCCATTTATAGTGGATTTTCCCATTAAACATGGTGATTTTCCATAGCTATGTTAAATTACCAGAGGGTACCATGTAGCAAACAAAATCATCCAACACACCCATATTGGATGCTCCTTCAAATACCAAGACTGGATCCATCAAGGTAAACCAGTCAGACTCAGCAGCACAGAATCGCCTGGTGCCAGGGGAAAGAAAGGTTGCTGTTAGATGATGTGCACCATGCCATCAATTGGAGACCTTACCTTGGTTGCTTCGAAAACCGAGAGGTGTATTCTTCTCTTGAAATGTAGAAAATAGTGGGTAGCTATGGCCTACTAACAGTCTACTGCTTGCGAAAAAATTGGTCTCTGCAAGTCCGCCCCCTTCACCCTTTTGGCGCGTTGCAGATCGCGCAGCTTCAACATCGGCTGTAAGATTCCACAGACATTCCCAGAAGTAAAGAAAGACAGGGAACCCCAAATATTTGGCTGGTGATCTGGTGATCAATTTTTCACCAGTCTGGTTTCCTGTCACTTTCACTTTCGGTGAATCGATCTTCATCGATCTTCATCGATCTCCAGCTGCCTTAGGCGGCGGAAGACGGCACGCAGCGCATGCGGTGAAGACGGTAGACCTCCAGGGTGAATTGTCCAATGGGCCGCTGGCGCCAGCCCTGGATGCGCTCTTGCTGCGGCTCCGTGAAGGTCTCGGGAGTGATGTCCTGGAGAGCCATGGATTTCATGGGAGACTTTTCGGTGATTTCATGGGATTTAACAATGGGAATTAATGGATTTAACATGGGATTTAACATGATCTGCAGATCTTTGGGATTCAAAGATCATCATGGGGATTTTACAGTGGTTGAATGGGATTCAATGGGATTCAATGGCTGGGAAATCCCCGAACTAGGTAACTATGCCATGGAGGTTTGCCTGCGAATCGTCCATAAATGGGGAATTGTCCATTGCCTTGTTTGATTGTAAGAGGGTAATTTTCTATCTGGGGATGTAAGGTTCCACAAGCAAGAATTTGCGAGTGCTGGATGTACCCTCTGGTAAATTAACATAGACCCTGAAAATAACCCATGTTTAGTGAAAACTAGTCTTCCAACCCCTATCTACCAGGGTCTATGTTAATTTACTGGAGGGTAGATGATAAGATTGTAGGAGACATGTTCGCTTCTTCTCAACTGGAGTACGATTCATGGTGGACAACACCGTTCTTTGCGAAGCATGTATGACTGACTTTGGATTCAGGAAAACTAGTAAAACCCAAAATCCCAACTTCTACCATCATTTTCCTATCCTCAAGTACCAGATTTAGGTAACCAACAATAGTGTAGTGGTTAGATCCCATAAACAATAGATACGTCGATCACAAACTTTAGTTATGTCAGTCCTACACCAACTTAGCAAACAATTTGGGACACCACCTTTTTCCATCATTTTTTTGAAAGTATCCCTACCACCCCCAACCCCCAACCCCCAACCCCCCCGGCTCCGGTGCAAACTTCCCGCTGTACTCCGGTGGACACACCGCCGGCGCGAAGAGCGCGGCCAACGCCAAGGCCGGAGGCGTCAGCGCCTCGGGGGCGCCCTTGAAGCAGCCGTCGGGCTTGGCGAGTTCGGCTTCCACCTGGAGTGGGAAGTGCTTGGGAAGTGCTTGGGCCCTTGGGGCTTGGGGAGATGTAATGCCTTGCATGGCTTGCATGGCTTGGTGACCATATATCATATATATCCCATATGATATCACAAAAATGGAGATGTGTATGTAACTGTATGTACCTATCGATCGACCTATCGATCAGTGAATCTAATTTAATAAAATCTAATCTAATCTGGTCTAGTCTAATCTAATCTATCTATGTGTCTATGTATCTATATGTATCTATGTGATGCATGTGTGTGTGTGATTATTTTATATATATATATATGTATATATATATAATATGTGTATAACGCGGAGTGTAACCCCATTCATCTTGGGAGGCACGAATAAAAACATGTCATGGGGATCTTGCTTCTTTCTTGCCACATGGTTTGGGTGGGGATCTGGACATCCAAAATCCGCGTTTTCACGCCGTTCATCCCATGCGCGTTGATATCCCCATGGCCCATGGCCCATGGCCGCCCTTCGGACGACTTCCCTGTCCAAAAAGAATGGATACATATTGCTTAAATACATTACTGTATTTATATACATATATATTAATATATATATATATATCCTGTCTTTCCATTTTTTGAACTTTGAGGGACATCATATTATCTCGCTGCATTGTACCACTTCACTAACCTCAAAATGGATCTTATCATACGGCCAGCGAAAAGGGGATGGTTCCCGAATACACACTGGATGAAAACTCCCTGCGCCAAACCACTTGAGGTGTACCCTAGGGGCCCAACTTCCCGTTCGATGTGGAACATCAACCATTGATCATTTTCCGAACGGCTTTCCCCATGGCTTTTCTACATCTCCAAACGTTTACCACACCCAGGGTACCTCCCTTGGCACCCACCTTCTGTATGGCCGCCTCAAAGTCTTGCAGCGTCTTGGCCTAAAGATGGGGCGGCAGATTCAGGTCGCTGATTGGGGATGATCTAAATCAACAAAGGGGGACCCGGGAAATTGACCATATTTAAAACCAACACAACCTAGGGGGTGTACCGGTGTACCGATTTTTTCTTTGGTTTTCACCAAGTTGTGCCATATGTTCCCATAAATGTCTTATATCTTACCATAGTTTGCAACATGATGTTTCCCGCATTTTCCCCAGGTTTTCCCCACATGTTCCCCAGGTTTTTCCCACCTTTTCCCTATGTTTTGATGGCCAACAGCCTGTTTCTCCTCGTCACCCACCATCTTCTCGCGCATCAACGAGGAGACCTTGTGCCGGAAGCCGCTCAGCTGCCAGAGCCAGCGCTGCCACCAAGGGACCGGGCAGGCGGCGCCCATGGCAGCAAAGGCGGCGTCCTGATTTGGAAGATTTCAATGGGGATTTCATGGGCATTCCATGGGCATTTCATGGTGATTAATCGGATGTTAATAAGGATTTAATGGTGATTAATGGGATTTTAATAAGGATTTAATGGTGATTAATGGGATTTAATGGTGATTTGTAAGATATAAATAGAGAAAGAGGATGAAAGAGGATAGATTTGGATTAGATGATTAGATTCATTGGATTTATAGATATGGATAGATTGAGATAAATGTTAGTAAAGCAATAATAAAGCCACCCATATGCATTGATGGTAAAGCAATGCATACAGCCACCCATACTTACTAATGTTAGTAGATCAGATAAATAGGAATAGTTTATTACAATATATAAGATTTTGCTGTTAGTAAAGCAATGCCATAAACCACCCATGTTTTTATTGATGGTGTTTTTGGCATCCATAAGAAAAGTTTACTGGGGATGATGGTGGATCCTTTTTTTGCATTAAACGAACATTCGATTTGATGAATTTCGATCCAACTGAGATGGGAATTGCTACGGTCAAGTCACGGGGGGTGAAAATCTCGGTCATCCATCGACTGGGAATGTTTATGGACGGATAGATGGATTTATTTCGATAGAAATGGATAGAATCTATTTAGATAAAATTCGATGGATTTAGCTGAGACAGAGAGAGAGAGAGAGTGAGTGGCAGGCACAGTTTTTGTTGTGCACATACAGACAACTGCAGTGGTGTAAAGAGCAAATTAACCCTGACAATGAAATGGTGGAAACACGAACAACAAACCCAAGCGTAAAAGCGTCTAGTTGGACATGGGACAATGGTTAACAAAAATGGGATATGCCGCCACTGGCTCAGTCTCAAGCTTGAGAACCGCCCATTGATTTTAAAAGTCAAAAACTGGATCCTTTTTCAAACCTCAGTCTGCTGTTCAATCTTCATGTTCGCGTATCCAATTTGGAATGGCCTCAATTGACGAGGTATACTATATCTTCATACACACCCATATTGTTGGTTATGAATCCCATGAAATCCCCATTCTTGTTGCTTTTACACCCCTGTTCATGGCCCAATCCCCGAACCTTCTCAGGTTTCAGCAGGTCAGCATAGACGATGGCACGCACCTGTGGCCCAATCTCGTAGTTCAGCACCTCACCGAAGAAACCACAAACGACACCCCGAAGAAAAAAAGAGATTTCTTGAGCTGGGTTACTATCTGTCAATGCTGCCATGAGGTGTCCATCCTAAAAAACTATATAGATAGACGAGATTCCTGCATCAATTCCATCAGATTTCATCAGATTTCATCAATCTCAAACCCTGGAACTTCACTTCGCACCCTTCGCGCCTTCTTCATCTCTTCCGGCACAGGTCCTAAGACTTCCAAACTCTCCCAGGAGTCGTCCAAGATCTTTCCATCCGCCGCCACATACAGCGGCGTCCCCTGGCCCTTCCCCGTGCTGCCGCTGTCGGCTTTCTTGGCGCGGAGTCGTTGCATGGGGCCGAAGAAGGTGTGGACCCCGGGGAGGTACGGATATTCCACAAAGGACACCTCTGGCAGCGTTGAGAAAAATCATGGGGTGCCTAGAAATGGTGAATCTACACCCCGAAGTATGGCATTTACGAAGAAAAGTGGGATGATAAAACCAATGGATGGAAGTGGGAAACCTATTTTAAGAGGCCATATGGGTTTAGGGGCCGAGAAAAACATAGAACTTCTATGAACATGCCATCATCTAGTCATTTTGTTTCTGGGAAAACTTAGGGGCAAAAGCCATGCATCAATGAACAAATAACCAGATGCACTGAGAACAGCGGTGTTTATCTCTTGAATAAATGGCTTTCTGCCATGGTCATTACCCCACCAACTCGACATCCGAAGCTGCCCACCTTTGCTTCTTGAAGGCTCCATCGCGCGAGCTCACAGTAGTGTGAGAATGGAATGGTATACAGCTGTCCCGCCATTCTGTTGGGAAGAGCCAGGGACCAATCACCTAAGGTGTGCAGAAGGAAGCCCAGAACAACGAAGCGCTGAACCCGACGGATGGCGATGGCGAGGAGTTTCTGTTGGGTTCACAGTAACCCACACGGCCGAAATCTTTGTGCTGGAGCCGAAACTCTCGTCATGGGTCGATGTGGGCAAGTCAAAACTCTCTCGATGTTGCCCATTTTATGTGCCAGATACCCAGCATATCTTCATGACTTTAACTAAATTAACCCCGATCTTGGGGTGGTTTTCCATGGTATTTCTCGCTATTTTACCCCCTATTTTCGGGTTCAAATCTCACAACCAAGTTGCGCAATCTGATGACATGGATCAAAATGTGGGGTACCAATCAACTCGACAAAGAATTGCAATTTGTCATATTTGCAGTACTAAACCATCCAGAGCCATCGCTGTTTCTTATGATTTCTTATGTGGCCGATAGATAGTACAGATGTCTCTCGCAAACTGGAACATGTTTCACTAGTGAAAACTGGAACATGTCCTTTTCAATGGATCATCCAGGAAAGTTCCGCAGGAAAGCTGCAAGTGTTTTACATCCAAACATGGTGCGTTCTCACAAAAACTCCATAAACTATGTCACAATTCTGAGATCACTATTTTTGATGTTTGAAATCGCAGTGAATCCCAATTCCCACACAATTTGGGGATCTTAGACATCTTTGACCACCAGATCTGTGAGATATTGAAGCAGGTCTGCCAGCTGCCTCCATAGCTCCGGATCTGGAGGGCTCCGGATAGGTATTTTCGGCATGCTCGAAAGCCATTTTGCAAACATTGTTGATCACTGAGAGGTTTCCGGTTTGTCTAAAGCTTCAACCAATGAGATTGCCAAGAACACTCCATAACACTCCACAACTGGGGGAACTGAGAAAATCCACTGCTCGGAATCCGAATCGCGCTTGAGCAGCAGATGGACCGGTCACCCAAAAATAGGGGTCCCCAAAAGGATAAAATGCCTTTCCAGGATGGTATGCTCTAGATGTGCTTTTCCCGCAATTTCCAGTCCAATTGTTCTATCTCCTCTTGTGCTACACATAGACCTCCAGTTGCATTCTTGGGAGCCGTCCTATTCATGGCGATGTAAGCATCTATTGAGATGGATATATTAGTGACTAATAACTGAGGATCACGTGGTCAACCCCAAACCCCAAACCATCCCCAAGTGCTCCGATAGGACAAACCCCCAATTGGAGGTGTCTTATCAGCACAGGAACCTCTTGAATCTTGACCTTCGACAGGGCCACTTGAAAAAGATAAGCTTGGCTGCTGGGTGTTCATCCTATTTTTCCTGATGGAATGGAACCCATCTCCCCATGTCACAAGCTTTCAAAGTGTCCAGCTTTGCCCCTCCCAATTTTCACCACACTGGCATCCGCCGCACGGGCGCTGGACATGTCTGTACAATCGCCGTATGTGGCACGCTGACGGGGTCACCATGAGGGTGCCATGGTGGTTTTTTGTTGGTCAGGGTGGAGGTTACCTTGCAGTAAACTCAACATGGGTTTCTCCGTAAAAATGGGTTTCTCCGTGCAAATCGACTGGTTCATATCGTCATCTTCCCCAGCAAAGAGTTCGTTTGGGGGTGTATACGTTCTACCGGGATACCGCAAAAACCCGATTTTTGGACATATGAGGTATGACATGTTTGTAACCTGGTATAAGTCTACCATCAAAAGTTCTTGGAGGGACACAACCACATCTCTTTGTAATCCGGTGCCCCTGGGAACCATTTAACCCCCTGATGGCAGCATTTATTCTGAACGGGAAGGGGTACGCAAAGCAATCAAAATGCAAGTAGAAAATAGATATATATATATATATAACCCAACAATACTCAGATAATACAGGGATAGTCAACCAGCAAAAGAAATTGGACAAACATCCACTATAGTGGCTGGTTTTAATGCAGCTAACCATGTGCAGCAACAGAAGGTGCCACGGTGTGGAGTGCATAGCCAAGGTGTCAACGAACATCAAAACAAGCATGTGCATAGTGTCAAATATGAACATGCCCAAAAAAAATGTCGGAGAGTATCCACACCACAAACATGAACGTAGCCAACAAGGGGAAAATGACGGAAAATGACTTGACAAAAACAACAGCTGCAGGTGGCACCGTGGCACCCCAGGTGGTCCACCACGCAGGTGGGCAAGACGAGACGGGGACCCCGGATTCCTTTGGGCGGCGCGGCCGAAAACGGCGGGGCCGGGCAAACGCCGACAGCGACCCACGGTGCAGAATCTGTTTGTTTGATGCGGGAAGGAGTCTGCTCTCTGTATTTTTGTTGAAGCACCTAAACAAGCAGTGTAAGGTTTGAAACTCAAGATTTGGGTCTGGGATGGTGTAGGTCAAAGCCGGACGCCCCAAATTGGGATGGCTTGCCCACCAGGAAAACCCAAGTCTCTACAGGAGGGTTTGAGATCAACAAATCTGGATCCTGTTCCGAAGGTCAACTGGAGGCATTTTTAGGCTCAAGGGGCCGCAGCCCTAAAACCAGCTCTCATGGCCCCAATTCACTCTCTTCATTTGCTGTAAGCAGCCTCCTCAGTTTGCACGAAGAAACCCCAAAATCGCTGACCAAATTGACCAAATTGAGGAAAGGACCAACTTTGCCGTCGTGATGCATCCGAAGCAGTGGGACTTCCGAACCGAAAAAAAAGAAAACTTGGAGAAGACCAGCCATTTGAAAGTTGAAACGAAACTTTGCCAAAGGGCCCCCGTTTCAGTCAACAAAAATCATCCCAGACATCGAAAAAATGTCATGCCCATGGTTCGTCTGGACAAAGCCACGCAGAACATTCCCGGTTTTGAATATGTCTATACATCCCTGGTTGCTAAGTATAGATATGGTGTTGTCCAAACATGGTGTATACACCCTAAATTGCAATTTCAATCAGGGTTGCTACCAACACCCCACACACCATAGGGGTAAAATGGGTAGATAGAGACATCAAATGACCTCGTTTTCTCCCCTTTGTGGCTATCATTCACCTATGGCATGGAGCAACCCTGTTAATCAAACATCATGATTAAAAAAAAAAAACATGATGGACCCTTAACTCTTGGGGTACCCTATATTGTTCCTATATTCAGATAAATCCATATTCCCATATGAACTTTAACATCCCTAGTGCTTTATCCAGTCGCCCAGAAACCATCTGAAAGCTGCACAGGCTCACATCTCCTTGCCGGCAACTTTCTGGGCCAAAAAGTGGGGACTTTAACCGCAAAAAATCTGGATTTAATCATCAAAAGTTTGGGGTTCACCACCAAAAATGGGCATGTATCTGTATATGTCAATGATGTTTATCCAGAAATGAGATTTCGTTTGTGACGCAAAATGGCTATCACATGCTATCACTCATTTTTCAAGTTTCAAGTTTCAGGGTCTGAAACCGGCCATTTCCCCTACCCAAGTTGATACCGCGGCGTCAGAGGCGTCCAATATGTTCTATTCAACATCCACTTCTTTGGGGCTTATACCCTAGAAACTCCTAGAAGCATCTCAGTCATCTCACATCGTAATGAAAAATATACCATTTCCTTACATCCATAGATCATGTTCTTGGAAAAAAAAAACGATTTCCAATCGCAAGCTTTGGATTGTATAGTGGAGGGTTTGTAACCCAATGGATCCAGCCGTTAAAAAAAGACTTCCAAAACACCAGCTCAGTGGACAGTCTGCAAGAAGCACAAACAAATTGAGGTTGGTTGGGTATATATTCCAATGATCATTCGAAACAATCATACTAACTACTGATTATTGGAATATATCAATATTAGTTATAGTCATTATTGTTTATTCTCACATCATTAATCATATACTTAGTTATCCAATCATCGTTCATGATGAAGAAATTTTATTACAATATCTCATAATCTCCATTATGTTTATGGTACAGTATATCATAATATGCTTATGGAAAACTCCTTTTGGGGACATATCATAATTTCCATGTTGGTTGGTCCAGAAATGGAGGATACCCCAATGTACGGCCAAAGGGATCTGATCCTCACAAGTCTCAACGAAATGCATCATGGTTTCGTCCAAAAATGGGAAAATGGCAAGTGTAATTTTTAGAAAATGCTCATAAATGCATTCTATTGTCGTTATGTTTCAAACACAGCCACTTCCCTGGTCGCGGTGAAATCCCTGGTCAACTCCCGTCCTCAACGCCTTCCCCATCTCCGAACAGGCTCAACCTGGCGGAGTGCGAGGAGATAGCGAAGACCTTCGCACTGCACTGCTCATATATATATATAGCAGATCTATATCGAGAAATTCAATCCATCTATATGCAAAAAATGCCTTTAAAAAAAAAAAAACGGTTACCGGGTATAGATGTATGATCTAGAGATGACCTTCCTATGTTAGCTCCGCCACATTCGCCTCTGGAGTCTCTGCCACCTCCGGAAGGGGCTCCTCAGCCAGGTGCGACCGCGGGACGTATCCTCAGCGAAAGTTGGAGGCTTGGACCAAAATGCTGGGTTTGTCCAACCAAAGTGCTGGTTTCTCCAATCAAAAAATGGGGAAATGATATGTAGAATTATGTAGAATTGATATAGATTGAGAATATAATGAATATTGATATTCATTGATTGATTCAAGGGAAGTTTCACAGGAAATATGGTTTTCCCCGCCAACTTGGATATTTTCCCTCCAATCAAGCCAAGCAGCTCAAAATATCTCAACATGAATAGATCCGATACGTGAGATGCATATCTGGATAAAGTAAAGTATTGCAACTTTCCATTTGAACATCACCCAACCACTATCTGGGATATGATATTATCATATATTATCTTCAACAACCATCAATCTTGTTGGCGTCAAAAAAACACCAAAAAATGCAACAGGTCCCAGCTGCAGAATCCCTCGATTCTGATCAACCAGCCGGGAAATTGAACATCTACAACTTGCTGTTCAATTTTGGGGTGTCCAAAAAAATCCAAAAATGCAAACCCCAAAAATAAACATCTAAAATGATTCATAACCATACATAATACATAATTAATATATATATATATATTTAATATACATCATCCATGGATCATGTTGTTCACAGCCCAAGGAGCCCAGTTTCACGCCGTAGTAGTCGTTCCGTTCCCAGGTGACCAAGCATCCCCAGGCCCAGTAGCCGCCCTCCTGGACCCGTTGAACAACCACCGTTACGAGGGCCGGGGACGGGGCACCGGGGGCACCGGGGGCTACCTCGATCCGTACCGAAGAACCAACAAAAAATGTGGAAAATCGACGAAAATCCACCATTTCTACTGGGTTTTCCATGATTTCTTCCATTTTCTATGGGTTTTCTATGCGTTTTCTATGGGTCTCTTGTATGTGTGGGTTTTCCATGGTGTTCCATTGAATCATGTTGTTTTTTCACTTCCAGGTTGGCGTTTCAGCACTCGCCACCTGATCATCCCAGCATGACAATGTGCCAATGCGTCCTCAGTCGGCTGCTGCCACAAGCGCAAAAACAGGTCACCCTTCACCACCGAGACCTGCGTGTCGTCCCAGATCTCCGGTTGAAAGGCTTGCACCACGCGAACCACCGGGTAGCCTGCAGCCGGGCCATTTTTTTTCGTGGGTCTCAGACGGGTGTCATGAGTGTACACATTTGAATGGCTATGTTGGGGAACTTCCATTTTTTGGACAAACCTGGTTGAGTGAAGCATCTTGAAATAATTTGGGGAAGACGAAACATACGGTGGCAGTAACGGCCATCCAGCCCTCCTAAAACTTATCGCCACTTTACAAACCCATATCCATCATGGTTAAATCAGTTCGTTTGATGGTGAAATAGTGAAATGCCTATTTGGGCTGTGTAAAACACCCATGTTCCGGACAAACGCAAATCTCGAACTGTTGATTACTACAAATACTGTGTATAGATCCCATGAATGATATCCCCCATGTTTGTTGGTAAAATCCTCCGGTGTTTATTGCTTATATCATGATATATCCCTAAATAGAGATAGAATGGAAAATCATGGGATAATATCGAAAAACAGTCTACCCAATGCTTGATGGTCATACACCATTAACTTTCCATATATATATATATATTATAGATATTAATAATATATATATAACATACATATTTCTTCCAAGAAATCCCAATTCCCCAGCCATTTTGGTTGCTTAGATCCCTCATCAAACCAGCTGTCTCCCATTCCCCACCTTGGAGGTCCACAGGATGGCCCGCAATACCATCACTGGCATCACCTGCCGCCATGGAATCTTTACATGAAGCTAATGTTGTGTGCAAAAATCGTGTATGTGTATGTAGATAATATTATATATAATATAATATTATATATATATATACGGTGTGTGTATATATATATATACGGTATATCTCACATATGTATTTATACATATGTAGTGTACATATAACATATGTATCTATGTATCATATAGTTACAGTGTCTGCCGGGTCTGCCGGGCTGATCCTGCCAAGGCTCTGTCTTCGCCATCGTCCACATTCTCCTGCGAAGATGTCACTGGGGATGTGGAGATACTGGGGATGTGGCGGATGTCACTTCTATGATTTTTCAATATCCACTTGGCTTGAAAAATCAGGGATTCAACCCCCTATTTATAGTTTATCTATTTAATTCTATCAAAATGGCATTCGGGAGAATGATTTTCTAAACCACAGATGGGGGGTAGCCTAGTTTCAAACAAACCCAAATGGAGCTGCTGAAGTGCCGCCCCAAGTAGAGAGAGAGAGAGAGAGTTACCCCCTACCTCCGCAAGGTTTTTGGATGGCGAACCATGTACCAAACTGTGCAGGAGCAGAAAAACGTAGCCTAGGACACACCCCAACATGTCAACTAAGGCATCTGAAACAGGGTACTAGTTAGTACCAGTTAATGGATTTTACTCCACACTTCTCATAGTGTTTCCATCCAAACCCTCCATCCCCATACCTCGGCTCGATCCAAACAGGATCGCGCATGTGCTTCGATGGCATCTGGATGAAATTTCTCCTGCACCAAGTTTCACCAGATCATGGTGAGATTCCTGGGTGAAATTCCCATTTTTTCCCATCACTTCTGATGAATCCCCAGCATTTTCAAGGGTGAACTGCCTTTTCCAATTTTTACTGGGTCGACTCCCCATGAAATTCACAGCATACACTCCAGTGACTGGTGAAATCTACATCGTTCATCATTTTTCCGGCTGATTGTTGGTGATAAGCCAGTTACCGGCTGAACCTAAATTACTTGCCAGTTGTCCTCAGATCTTGATATGCCCCCAAACATTCGTCCAAAATCACCAAAATTCGCGTCGTCATCGCCAGTCGCCCGACTCACCCCCACCTGACATACAGGACATTCTTGCCACGACTGGGTGGCTGGAGGATTGTTGATGCATTTTTCCACGTGTTCCTGGAATTCTTGGAGCATCTGAAAGCTGAATCTCTTTTGACCTGTGCAGACACAGGACTCCCTCAGACCATAGAAATCATGTGACAAGATTCAGCTTAGTGCATCAAGACTTACACAAGAACGGTGTATGCAAATGAAAGGTCCCAAATTCCAATATCTCCAGAGAAAACGGAGGGAATATGAGTTCATCAAACACTTCATCCCTCTGAGATTTCGGGAACAGCGGAAGAAAGAAATGCCAAGTGCGCCAGCTGACAGACACAACAATCCAAAGATGGGAACTCCCTCTCAGCATCCTCAAGGAGCGTCTGCTGGGGAAATTCCTCTTCGATATCTCCGAGGTCTTCAATCTCTTCGACCCTTGGGACTTCAATCGGTTCTCGAGGCGCAGCCGAAGAAGTTGGCCGATCGTCCAAGGGTCCGCTTTCCTGATGGCAACGTGACTGCGTTTCAACTTGGTTTCAAGGAGCTTGGCATCACACAATAGACATGAAGCATCGTTGCTTACCTGTGATGGGTTGGACGTGCTCAATTTTGGACCATTTTGGACCCAAGCTTCATCACATGGACCCGCCTTCGATTCCACTTTGCACCTGATGCTTTCGCTTCGATTTTGACCCCACCTCACCGTGCTTTTCACGGCTCGCGGCACTGAGGTACCCCTTGACACCGCAGTACGTGGCTTCAGTTTGGGCGGGGTGTAGGCGACCAAATTTTTGGCCGGTGCATTCTGGTTGTGGGACAACTTCATGTGGTCCTTCAAGGTCTTGTAGAGGGCAAAGTGATGTTGACCTGGATTTGGAATTTCAAGGCACTTTGGGATAGCGGGATGGGTGCCCAAGCTTTTCAGCCGAGTGATACCGAAATGGACGGTATGTTCGTCCCCCAACTTCTGGGTTGCGAAAGCAGTGACCCTTTGGTGCTGGAGTGGGGAATCGTGCTTTCGCTTGGGGATTCCTTTATCCCGAGGTAGATAGAATATGGGATTTGCAAACATTCCCATTTTAGTGATGATTTTTGGACACAGACTTCATACAAATAGTCTATCTACTCCAGGATGACTATGTATATACTTCATACATATAATAGAATGATGGGAACATAACCAACAAACAGATATAATATGAGGGATATGATATAACCAACAAAAATGTTGAATATAATATTGTTGGGATCATCATGCCAAGTTTTCTTTTTGATGGACATAAAAAGTAGAGACTTAAACCATCAACCAAGAGCAGTACACCTGGTTTCATGAGAGTTACATTATTAGTTAAATCAGTCAAATCCCCATGTTTGCTCAAACAAAAGGTAAATCATCCAATCATGTGTTGATTCAGTTAAATTATATGGCTTCAAAATCCGTCTATCGGCTGGTCAATGCCGTTAAACTGTTAAACCCCACCGGAAAAAAATCCAAAAAGATCGCAGCCAAGTGGCATACGGGACACCTAAAACCTGGAAGCACTAGCAGTCAAGGGCAACCAATGGTGGGGAGTTCTCCAGTTAAACTATTTGTAATGCAATTTGTAATGCAATGGTGTGTGACAGTTTATTGTGGTTTATGATGCTTTACAACTCTTTGTTCTGGGTTTTGATTGTTTGTTTGTACTTGGCCAATCAAATATATGAAGTGAAGATACTGGTGTGTGCTGATGGTTTGAGGATAGCACATTTACTATGATATATTATTTAATCATCAAGGTGCTTCTCCAGTTGATAATGCTTTATCATGGTTTTTGATGGTTGACAATGACTGATAATGGTTCATAATGGTTGCGGGTACATTACTTGGCCAATCAAATCGAGAATATCCGCAGATGATTGGTATATTGAAGAATCAAATTGAGGTTGTTAAAGAAATCTGAACATTATAATGATGTTTAGCAGAGCACGAAATGTCAATCCAATTCAGAGGTCTATTTAATAATATATATATATATGCACATATAATTCCCCTATTTGATGAAAATGTGTAGGGCTAATCAAAGTGGGGTTGTTTAAGAATCAGTGACCTTCGGGAAAAAAAAATCTGAATTGACCCATCAGACCTCCATCTTCCAATAGATCTGAAATGATGAGTGTTCTTTTGTCATTGGCCAATCGATGTTCATCTGGAAGCAAACTCAATAATCGATCCAACATTGCGTAAGCGGACTGTTTAGCAGCTTTCACACAAGAGTGGCAGTTTGAAAAAGTTGCTGAAAAGATTTAATCATTTTAATCCCATCCTCCTAAATATTTTCCAGACCCCCAGAAACCATGTCTTGTTGGGGGATAAAAACACATGGGGTGAATCAGTGAATCTGAAAAAGTTCACACCAGGCAACATCCCTCTTCTTGCGGCACTTTGACCACCGGCTGTGATTTGCTGCGACTGGCTGGCTGCAGAGTACTAGCTTTCACCTGTCGGGACGATCCATTTCGTCCCAGGGTAAGTTCAAGACCCACGAAACTCCGGGTGGAACAAAAACGAACCAGTTCCTGAAACAATTCACCAAGACATGGGTGGTGGTGTTCAAGACCTGAGAATTCGTTCCCAATTTTGTTCAATCCCCATCACCCAACCCTCCAACCCCTCCCATCCACTAACTGCAATAATATTCATAGATCCCCAACCATCCCCAACCATCCCCAACCATCCCCAACCATCCCCAACCCTCATCTCCCCCAACCCCCCATCCCTATAACCCAACCATCCCCCACCATCCACCGGCCCCAAATCACCTTCTCCTTGGGCGTCTTCGAGTTGCTCCGTAGCTTCTCCGGTCGCCTGGGCTCCATCTCCAGCAGCTTCGCGCCCGGCGCCAGCGCCGCGCGGCGATACTCCGCCAGGGTCGTGCCCAAGGGCGACGGCCACGTGGGAGTGCGAAGGCCCCAGGTGAGAGCAGCTTCACCCACCTCGGGATGCTGGGCATGGGAAAAAAAGGTGCAGGAATTGAAGAAAATGGTAGAAATGTATGAAAAATTAAATATATTTCTTGTCACCTATTATTCGAACCAAAAAACCCTGATTCAAACAGGATTCGAGTGTGCCAACTCAAGCTGTGAAACCACGTAGCCGCAAGCCGCTTTCTTTTTTCAATCGGGGGTACATGTCGTTGATCGAGATTCTGGTATCACGGATGACTTCTGTACAATTCCTGACCCAACCTGCTGCTGGCGTCCACCGGCTTTGGTGCCTTGTTAGAATGGATCGGTTTCCATCTTCCCCCCCTGTTGTAGGGAGGGAGGGAGGAAAAACAAAAAGGTGATTTGATTGTCCGAAATGTGATGATCCAACAATCCAATTGTTCATACAAAAATTTTTGTTGCATGTAACATCTTTGATGATGAAGAATTATGAAGTGAATTGGATTGACAAGACTCAGATGTCTTGTTTGCCTTCTTTGTTGAAGGTCTTTAAGCCAAACGTTGTGGGCATTTTCAGGATCATCCAAATTCTCTCAGACCACATCCAAAATCTGTTCAATGATTCAGCGACATGTCTCACCAATATTTCTAATGAACAGATTTTATCGGTCAATCAAATACGAAAAGTTTCTTGTTTCACAACCAAGATTGTTTCAAGGCAATAAGAGGTTTTTTGGTCGTTTTGTGAAATTCCCAAAACTGTCGAATATCTGTTCCAAGAAAGTCATCTCCACGTTGTGTAAAATCCCTTCTTGTCACCTATTATTCGAACCAAAAAACCCTGATTCAAACAGGATTCGAGTGTGCCAACTCAAGCTGTGAAACCACGTAGCCGCAAGCCGCTTTCTTTTTTCAATCGGGGGTACATGTCGTTGATCGAGATTCTGGTATCACGGATGACTTCTGTACAATTCCTGACCCAACCTGCTGCTGGCGTCCACCGGCTTTGGTGCCTTGTTAGAATGGATCGGTTTCCATCTTCCCCCTTTCATTGAACCGACTTGATCCCTGGCTAGTCATTGGTCTGTTGGCGGCTCTCACTAACCAGTCTACCACTAACTGCTGGCACTGGAACCCTTGGATGAATTGGGCGCCCCACCGTCCTGATGCTTTCTCACCTTCCATCCTAGACGGCTCATCTGCAGGATTGCTCTTGCTGGGTACCCTCTCTATCCACCAAAATGACGGCAAATGCACTTCAATCGCGTAGAAGGCCTTTATCAAGTCATCCATGGATTGACTGTTAGACCGGCCTTTGATGGCCCCCCCCCTTGCTGAATTGTTGTCGACAAACAGGAGGACTCTACGGTTATGAAGTTCACGCATCCACTGCCAACGCACCAGGACCATGGCCAGGAGCTCTATCTGACAGATCAGTTGCTCACCAACTTGATCTGCCCACAAATCTAACAAACTTTGGTGCACTTTATCTTGTACAACCAACTTAGAACCTGTGGTTTCGTCCAAGAGTACGGCCCCCAAACCTCCAATACCATTTTCCCAGGCCCCGTCTGTGAAGATGAGAACTGTCCGAGTATTGATGGCCACCGGAATGGTTCGGGGCTGGACGCTCCGGAGTAAAACGAGAACTTCCTCGCACCATTTCTGTAAGGGCTTGGATCGGGATTCGCCCTTCTCCACAAGGCCAAAAATTTTGAAGCATGCATACCTTAAGGCTCTCCCCGAAAAGTACCCTGTTGCAAAATTCAGGAGGCCATGGAGTTCCTGAGCTTCGGACAAACGCATGTTGCCCTCTTTTTGAATCCCCTCGATTTTTGAAGAAATTTTGTCTACTCTCCCTTCCTTGTTTTTCAGGGTCACCACCCCTGATCGGTGTAATGATGACAGATCAAGTGTCAGGCCCAGAACGTCAAACGAAGGCGCGAACGGTTTTCCTTTCGGACCCGTCCTATCATGTCGCCAACCCAAGAGGTCCAAGAAATCTGACACCATAGCGTCCGTCTCTGCTGCGGCTTTTTCTGGGGAGAACATGGGGTAATCATCAAAGTACACCGCCGACGGTACCTTCAGAAGAACATTGATCAGAAACCAAAGTGATCGGCTGACCCGGTTAAAGGCATAAACAGCCGCTGTCGACCCAAACATTAAGGAATTCGGAATATAGTACCTAGCTTTCCCGGCGCGATCCCTGAAGAACACAACTGCTAGGTCACGGTGTCCTGGCTTAATGGGCAACTGTTTATAGGCTTTAGACAAGTCCAAAGTTTTTCCTACCCAATTCAGGCCAGCCCTCTTTCCGAGTTCCAGTGTCAAGGCAATCACATAATCGGCATCTTGCAAGTCCAATCTAATCGTCGAGGTGTAAGCCGAGTTCAGCTGCGCTTCCAACCCATCATCAATCGGACGCAGTTTCGAACCCTGCTCTATGACGAATCGCCGCACAATGCGCCAGTTTCGGTGGCCCAGGATTTCAGTCACTTCAGCTTCCGAGTGGTACGGACCCTCCAGAAATGACATGTCTACTTCCTCTTGTGCCGTCTCCTCCAAGTGCTCAGCGAACCCAGGTTCATTAGTCTGGGGCCTCCTATTCTCTAGGGCAAGCCTGCACGGCAAGGCTGAATCTCTGAGCTCAGCTTCCGTCGTGGACGCCAGCTTGATCTTGAGAGGGTAGCACTTAGGATGATCATGAGCCCCCACTAGCGGCACTCCTTCTTTCATGAACTTCACCACCTCCATGCCATCATACCCTGACTGCTCCAGAAGCTTTTGCCAGAGTAGGATTTTCTTCCCTCGGACCACTTTCTCAACCGGTTCCGGGAGGTTCTCGTGCAACCTCTTCTCCTGACCCTCCAATTGCTTGGCTAAGATCTTAGCCTTCAACAAGTTCTTCTTCCTCTCGATGGACACTAACTCTGGTGAGTTACAAGCTACGTACCCAATCGCATCTCTTGTGATGTGTTCCAAGGCATTCTCATCCATTGGATGGGTAACGTTCCTGGCTTCTTCCACAAATTGCATCGGTGTGTACCAAGTTCCCACCAAGACGTCTCCTTCTGACCTTTCTTGCGAGTTCCCTTCCTGGCATTCCCCCCTTTGAGATGAAGGGATCAATTTTTGTTGGTCGGTGAGGCCAAAGGTGGGCGGGAGCCACCTGGTTGTGACAAACTCTGGGATGAGTTGCTTCCTCTTTTTATGCTGGCGATGTTGAGCGGCTAGGGTCTTTTCTCTAGGGATTGGGGGTATAGAAAAGGAAAGATTTTTGGATACCAAAAACTTTTTGACTGCCGCTGCAACTCTGGCCGCCAGTAATTGTGGGTAGGCGGCCTCTGCGGATGTGTCGAATGTCCATGTGCCGTCGTGAGATCGAACCTGATAAGGCAAGTGGCTGTGGTCATTTTGGCAATGTGCTGTGAGCTGATCGAAGACACCTGTAGTTGATTTCCAACGAGTGCCCTTTTTTCTTTGGCCGCCATGGCAGCAGTTGTGAAAGAAAATCTCTGTGAGTGAATCCCAAAACTTGGTAAGATCCGGATTGTTCTGAGCCTGAACATATGCCAAAATGGCTGCCCAGAACCAAGATCTGTAAGGGTTTTCCAGGCTGATCACTGACCTATATTTCATGGCGATCAGGAGAATGTCGACTACAAATCTGTACAAGATGTTGGCTTTTGTCAGTCTTACGCCGGATGTGGATTCTGGATTAATGTGGGGTAAGCCTAATGGATGGTCTGCCGACCGCAGTGGAGGGGGCTGTGGGGCCCCTTGGTTAATTTTATTTTGAGCAACGGGCCTTTCCCGGGCTCGGGAGGCGGTGCCACATGGCATTCCTAAGTGGATATAATCAGGCGGTCTACTATTCAAAAGATCAATTAAGATTTTCTGATGGCTAGCCTGTGTCAAATCCAAAAGGGTAACCGGCACCTGGGGGTCGTGCATGACATGGTCCACTGCAAGGACTGAGAATCCAACATTTATCAACTCTCTTGAGAGTGATGCCTGCCGACAACAGATTTCTACGGCAAAGGGCTGCTGACTATTAGGTGAAACTGGGCGTGGCGGATCTTGCTGTGTTGGGGAACCGCCGAGGCCCTGCATTTGTCACTCGGTTGAGTGACTGCATTCATGATAGGGCTTGGGTTCATGACAGCCCTGCTTGTAGCACAGGTGATATCCTCTTTGGCACCGTGGGCCGGATCCTTTAAATCCACACACGCCCTTGTTGAAGGCAAAACACAGCGGTTTGCCCTCTGGCGTCTTTGTCACACAGCCAGGCGGGATGTCAATGGAGCCTGACTTTGTCTTTGTCTTGCCCTTTGTCTTGCCTTTGCCCTTACCTTTCTGATACTTACTAGGGCGGTCGGATGCGTCGGATGTTGGCCTCTTGTCTGGCTTAGGATTGGTCTTGGGTGCAGGCCGGACTGGCATAGGCATCAGGTATGGCATTAACTCGGGGGATGTTCGCAGCGCCCTGATCTCCTTGTCCAAGGGCGTCATGGAGCTGCCTGGTTCACCCTGCAGCTGGCCAACTAGATTGTTGGACGCACGGATAAACATCTGCTTGTCGCATTCAATGATCTGCTGCAGAGTGACCGAAGCAAAGCCTGATGGTTGAGCTCTTTCATGCGATAGAAACAGATGTTGTACCCACAGTTCTATCTCCTTAAATGAACAGAGTTTGGCTTGGTCCATTGCTAGAGATCTGCGTTGCAGAGCATTTCTAAGGTCCAGCTCTGAGCTGACGGCGCAGGTGGTGTTCACCGTCTTGGACGTGATCTTGATGGTCCCGCTTGCATCCAGTGACACCTTTGGGTCGCGCTTCAAACTCTGGATCTCCTGTGATCGTGATGTACACTCCTCCGGCTTGATCCAAGTCAAAACATTCTGCTCCAACATGTTAACGCAAAGATCCACTAGTGCATGGCTCGGAGTTACCTCGGGTGAGAACATGATTCCCTCCAGCCTCGTCTCCTGCTCTAACTGTCGAGTCTGGCGTTCTGCCATTGGTAACTTTCGATGAGATAACTGGGGATCGGAAGGTTGGTCAACCTTTCTTTGCAGATCGTTTAATGCTAAGGCATGGGATTCCACCACCAGTCTACGGATGCATGATGTCTGATAAGGGCTCAGATCTCTATTGGTGACCTTCAAGAGCCATGCATCCAGAATCGCATCTGTGATCTGTTGCGGAGTTGTCGATACTGCAAATGCCAGAGAACCAAATGTCTCAAAGCCCTTCGTCTGCAGCTCTCCTTTCAATTCGTCTTCCACCCCTAGCTGCCTCATTCTTTCTGCAAAAGCGGCCTTACTGTCAAGAGCGGACATGGCTGCAGTTTGATCCTATTAAGGACGAAAAAATTCAGGAAATCACATGTTGAACTTTGTTCATAGATGCAGATCATCTTGCTTGTCTGGTGTGATGTCGAGTACGTAGAGTACCTTTGGAGTAACTAAATGAATGATCACAGTTTCGATATCATCACCTCTCTGATGAGGCTGCCTACCCCGAAAATCGGGCTGCGGGCAAGTAACAAGAGTGTTTCATGTGAGATCTGTGGACATGTCTCTTGTAGCAACTATGCCACTGGCTCAGATGCCACAGCAAGTGACTATTCTTTCGCTGTCAGTGCTTATCAATTGCGGCTCTGATGCCACCTTCCTTCTCACATGCCCCCAGCCGCGCCACAGTGACCTTTTTTGACCCAGCGACCGATCACTGCTCTGTCTGCAGTTGCCTGAAGAACTCTGTTGTTCTCTGGCCGTCATGAAGTCTGTGATGATCGATCTTCGATGATGCTTTGGATATCCAGCACCGTTTCCTGGGTCAAAGATATGATGGCTTCAAGCGGTTGATTCGGAGGGCACGCAAGGATCCATTCTTCCAGCACTGACAAGGTCATATCGGCTTCAAGATCTAATGTTGTTCGGTCCAGCTCACGTAATGATCGGAAACCTCTTGGATGCTGGTTGATGGCACCCAAAGAAGATATACTGATGTTCAAGGTGTGTTCCATGGGCACACCGCGCATAATGCACAGGGCCCGTCTCGACAACACCCACACTGTAGCGAGGTGCTCAGTGATGCATGAGTAGCCGACATGCCGGATCACCTTCGCTAAGAAGTCGGACATTCCTTCAACTTTACACAACAACTCCGATGTAATCGATCGGTCAACCTCTAACCAAGCACATATTGTGACCAAAAAGACTTCGGTGGCAGATCCCGCCATTGCTAAGCCCGGATATGAAGGGATATGAAGGGGGGCTCGGATGTCGGTTGGTTTCGCTGTGAACCACAATACATGATCTCTGCTGATCATCTGTTTTCCCCCTTGTAAATGGTCACATCCATGAATGATGAACCTCTGATGGTCCTTATTTGTGCATGTTTCCACTCACAATTATGATTCATGAAAGATGAACCTCCGATGGTCCTCATCTGTGCACGGCATAGTGTCAGCTTACCATTATGATTTCTCAATGCTGCTGGAAATTTCACGACTAGGAAAAGTGCATTTCTAACTCGCTCCCTTTTTTTCTTTCACGCGGCGATGTTGCTCAGTTGGCGGCCGCACAAAATGCAGCATTCCATGTCATCGATGGCTGCTCTTTCCAACGCAACATAATTGGCAGAAACATGTCGGCCACACAAGGTTGTGACACCGGACGAAGTCAACCCATGCACAATTCCACTCTTTCTGTGGACAATGCAACTGACTTCGTGTTCCCCCGGAAATGGCTTCCTACCAACCGTTTCTTCCTGGGACCCAAGGACCCCAATCAGGCCCTGCTCTTCTTCCGAGGATTCGGATGAAATTTCCCAAAGGTCGGCTGTTTCCACTTTATCTGCTTCCAAAGGGGCAACGTCGACTTGGACTGGAGGGCCTGAAGCCATAGTGTCCGCAGCCTCGATTATTCTCTCTAAGGCCGACGAGTCAGGGCGGAAGTTTCCGAGCTGTATTTCCCGGAAGCACGCCAGAATTTTCGCGTAGAGACTGGTGTAGGCTTCCCTACTGTAAGTCAATACAGAGCGATCGCCGGGCTTGATGTGGTGGCCAAGAGTTCTCCTTTCTGCCATGCTAAATCTGACTGCAGTCGATCTGGCCGCCATAGTCAACAGTCCAGTCTTCAAAGAGTGAGTGTCCAAATTTTGGACATCGAGCTTTGGGAACGGGTCCATCAGAAGTCTGACCTCCTCCACGAAGTCCTGAAGGTATCCACCAGCCTCGGTACTGGACATCGGTGTTGAGGACCACCTCCCTGTTCTGCATGAAAAGGATGGTAAGAAGGGTTCTGGCTCCCTTCCCAGCTCTTCAACACGAGCGTCCAACCACTTTTCTGCCCAGAGCAAGCCCTCACTCCCGTGCCGATCGCAACGTATGGTAGCAATCTGGTTTGTGCCTCTTTTGTCACCGATGTCTTCGATCCCAATGCTTCGCCAGTGACCAACGCCACATCCTTGATCTTCTCCAGCTTCAGACACTGAAGTCTCATTGAATCAGACCACCGACTTGCGGCATGAAAACACCACAGGAGTTGTCCCAGTATGCAAGTCTGAACACTGTCCTCTTGCCTGAGCAAGAGTTTTTCCAGCTCGGCCACTACCAGGCATGGCATTGGGTCTTTTTGCTTGAGTGGGGCTTTGCGTAGGAATTGTTGGTGGGCGAAACCCGTAACCCGGGGCGACAGCACCAACCCCAGATCGGCACATGTTAGAACCGCCACCGAATCCAAGAATCTCAAGGCCTCCAAGAAGCTCGATGCTGCTGTTGCACCGGCTTTTCCACTTTCTAAGTGCCCTAGATACGAGTAGATGTCAAATTCCTTCAATCTGAGTGGGGAGCCCCGGTGATTGAGCAATAAAAACCATTCTACATATCTCGTTAGGGCACATGCTCTTTTATAAAGAGTATTTGAGGATTTTTTCGAGAAGGCTTGTTCAAGGGACTTACGGATGTCATGGTCGGACAACGGTCTGGATGATACTGGAACTAAAAGTTCCCCTAACCTCGTCGTCGTCGGATCCATGAGCAGGATGCTCTTCAGCTTGGTCAAGCTGGCATCTCTCAGGTCGTCGTCGGATCGGGCGATCCTGACTCTCCGTACATATGTCAAACGTTGGATGGCGTCCAAACTATCCCTGGCTTCCGGATCAGCTTCTGGATGTTGGGTCAAAAGCTTCAAGCTGTTCGACGACATCGACAGCATTGAGGACAGAGAATTTCCAAAGCTTTCGTTTGAAAAGGACTCGCTCAGGCTCATGACCCTGGCCTGCTTAATGTTCCTTAGCTCGTCCATTTGAAGCTCAGTTTGGGCAAAACGCTTCCAAGCTGTCTGACTCATCGGATCTGCCAAGTGCTCTGCTGGGATCTCTGGGACAAGGTCTGGCATCAGATCAGATGGTTCATACTCCGGAGACGGGTCTGGCTCCCAATATTCTTCATCAAATTCAGGTTCACCAGACCAAGGAAATTCCTCTGACCCTTCAGCATTAACATCGGCAGGACCTAACGGATGCTCGGATGCAATATCTAACGGATGCTCGGACGTGGGTTCTGTACACTCACGAGGAGGACCTAACGGATGCAACTGAAACGTCTCACCGTCTCTCACGGACGTACTTGATCGGGGACCATCCTGACGGGTTGCATGGTGAGCACCCTTTAGCTACGGTGACCACTACATGTGAATGTTATCTCACTCGTGAACACCACACGGATCTCACCCGCCTGAGAAACACGATGCTCACCAACCTGAAGCTTCCACTCACAACTGTAGATAAACAAATCTTCTAATGCCCCTATGTGAAAAGATCTCACCATGTGGCCTGAGGATGATACTGGGCTCGGAGGCTTGTGCCTGTCGCCCAGCCCCGCACTTCTCGTGGCCTCACATGACTCTGCTGTCAATTTCCATGCCAGTACTCTGATGTACGGCCACCCATGAGGTCCTCACCAAATCTTCAGGATCGACCTGGTCACGTCCTCCACCTGTCCGGAGCTCTGTCACTGCCTCCCAGGTGCGACTCAGCCATCAATTACTCTCTTGACTCAGATGTCAAGGAATCATCAAATGATGGAACTGAAATCACTCATGTTCACATGAGTCAAGCCTCTGGTGGCCCTTCTTCAACCTCCACAAACTATCACTCACAGTCATGCAGACTAGCTCTGATCGACTCCGATGTCTGACAAGAGCAACAGTGTCTGTGGTTCCCCTAAATCAAAAGACAATCAACTGTTGAGGTCCAAACTCCTTCGAGTTCAGCCTAATGAGAGTAGAATCAAATTTTCAATTGACTCTGATGTCAATTCAATCTAACTGTCAAAGTTTCCAATCAACCTCATGACTCGGATGTCTCTGATTTGAGGTCACGGCAGAAGCCGCCTCGGCCTGAACGGAAAACGGTTCAAAATACTTGATTCCTATATTACCTTCCACAGTCTTTCTGATTTAAAGAATCACTGTCAAATCACTGTCCATTCCACTTTCCATGTCGTATAAAGTCATTCCCTGGGTCCTGTTGAGGTTCGGACATTCCCCCTAGATTTCGGACCCCATCGCGACCGGCCATATGTCATGTCAAAACTAAAGCCAAGGAGAAAGGAATGAAGGACATCTGTGGAATGTTCCGGCTGACAGTGTAAGAGACCAAGTGTTAAATCTTTGAATGCAAATGTGGATGAATCGGTTTTCATCACGGTTTGGAAATGGAGATTGACCTGTCTGGCGCACTTGAAAAACAGGGATGCTTTGCATCTCGTGTAAAAAAGGGCCTCTGTAGCCGTAGCCAAAAACATCGGCTCCTGAAGAAAAAATCCTCTCTGTCAGATCGTGACCTGGAAGGTGTGGAAGTAGAGGATCGCTAGTACCACCCTATGGATGAACGGGATGCGGCACCTTTGCCCTTGCCCTTCGGAGGATCATCCGGCTCATAGTAACGCTGCCTCTTTGCACGGCGAATTTCCAGCGGGGTCATATCACGAAGAAATGCCCAGCTCTGTGTCCGCATCTCGTTTAAGGCTTCCGCCTCACTGAGTCCAGTCATCTGAAAGTACTCGACACCCATCTGCATGGCTGCGGAGATCTGGGACTGGAAATCACGCTGCAAATGCGGCGGCAACTTCTGAAAGGTCTTGATGATGTCGAAGGGCATGGCGTCTGGGTGAGGTGCCGGACCGTCTGATCCAGGTGTGCCTGGAATTGCTGCTGTCAGAGGAGGTCCCATCTCAAATGCGGCTGGGGTCACTTCAGCCTCTGTTGGCTCTGTTGCCATGGGAAGAGCTGCATCGTCAGCTGCAGCAGATTCTTCACTTGTTTCATCATCCTGATGGGGAGCTTCTCCGTCATCTCCGGGTGAAGGGGCTGGATGTGGACCTGAGGTCACTGGACCGTCTCCTGCATCGTTGTCTGCGTCTTCATCCGCAGGTTCCAACCAAAGAGCCCATGCCCTGATCTTGAAAGGGGTGCACAAGTTGTGGGCGATGTCAAAGTTCACCTGATTGAATGATTCCCCACGGCCGTAAGTATAAACGGCATGGGGCTGCAGTGGCGGCGGAGCTTCGTCGGGCTGCAGATGAAATGTATTCACTGCTTGAAAAGCAGGACCAGAAGACGACGCATGCAACATTGCTACAGAAGGGAATACACGCCCCAAAAACAAAAAGGTGATTTGATTGTCCGAAATGTGATGATCCAACAATCCAATTGTTCATACAAAAATTTTTGTTGCATGTAACATCTTTGATGATGAAGAATTATGAAGTGAATTGGATTGACAAGACTCAGATGTCTTGTTTGCCTTCTTTGTTGAAGGTCTTTAAGCCAAACGTTGTGGGCATTTTCAGGATCATCCAAATTCTCTCAGACCACATCCAAAATCTGTTCAATGATTCAGCGACATGTCTCACCAATATTTCTAATGAACAGATTTTATCGGTCAATCAAATACGAAAAGTTTCTTGTTTCACAACCAAGATTGTTTCAAGGCAATAAGAGGTTTTTTGGTCGTTTTGTGAAATTCCCAAAACTGTCGAATATCTGTTCCAAGAAAGTCATCTCCACGTTGTGTAAAATCCCATATATATATATATATAACTTTGATGGATGTTGATGGATTTGGATTTGATTTCATGCTTTGCTCTTTTGATTCCATTGCTGGATGTTCAAGAAGTTTGGGCAATTAGATCACATGTTTCGTCGGCACGATCATCATTTTTCAATGACAATCCCTCTTCATCTCTCTCAAAGCTCTCATTTGAAGGTTCCCCCATCTGGAAAATCCCAAAGGTACCGGTATCATGAATTCCAATTCCCCGCTGCACTTCATCTTGCGCCAAGCAGAGGCGCCTCAGCCAGCATTCCCAATTTCCTCAAGTACTCATCTAATTGGCTCACATTGGTCGGCCGTCGAGGCGCGCCAACCAACTGTTCCTCACCTCAAGCGTTGCGGCTGGGAACTCACTTTGTTGGGCTCAATGTTCTAGCGGGCACTTGATATCTCAGAATTGGTTCAAATGATTTCTTTTGCAGGAAGATCTCCATATTTGGAGGATAAAATCCATGATTTCCTGTATCTGTTCAGCTTCAGTGGACTCAGTGACAATGGCGATACCTGGAAGAACTGCGGATATCACCATCCAAAATGAGAAATACGTAGGACCAGAGATGTGACCAATCCACATGGGAATAGCAACAACAATACCTGGAATAGATGTCCACCTGGAATCTCCCAAAGCCTTCGGTGTATCTTGAAAGCTCGGGTGCCCCTCCACGCTTCCGGGAACGCGCCATGCGCCATGTGACTGTAGGGTCTGTCAAGGGATGGATCGCAGAAACGGGCGCTCTCTTCCCAGACATCGTCATCCGTTTGTTCGCAACAGCCGCGGCAGTACACCCAATAGCCGTGCCATCGAAAACCTTGATTTCGTTGATTCGGGTTTGTCCAAAGATGGGGTATATATATATATATCATTGTGAATCATCGAAATTCCCCCTGTAAATTTGTCATGAATTAGGATAAATCCACCATCACAGTTCCAAACACCCACATGTGATAACATATGATACCTCACCACGACTGGAGTATGTAAACCTTGATGATCTAGGGCCAAAATGACCAAGCCGTCCAAGCCACACTCAGCACCGGGTAAGCACTTCGGTGCGTATGCCTCACCCTCCAGCATCTTTGCTAAAGATGGCTTCGACTCCTGAAGCCACTCGGATCCATTGAAAATGAGGCATTCCACCACAAAATAGCCAGCCATCATGAGGAATATGATGAAGGACGCTTAGTGAATCATTAGTGGATTTGGAGGAAACCTACCATTTCTTTTGGAATCCTCACGGCCTCACGTTGGAGAGAGTTGGCTTCAAATTTCATACCACGGCCGGGTGAGCCTGGAAACATGATGGGATTTCCGCTTCCAACACTTCAACACCGCTTCAAAATGCTCTGGAAGCTTTGGGGGGGTTGGAGTGAAAAATCACTGTGGACTCAGACCTGACCCCTAGCTTTCGTGAACAGCGTCAGGCACGGGAGCCCATCCCAAGTCCCAAGTCCGTCCTGTCTTAGGAACTTGTCATAGCCACAATTCCGTGAGGCAACCTGTCAGCGCAGCTTGCGCAGGCGGAGGTGGAAAAAAATCTTTGCGAATCCTGACTGATTAAGGGGGAATTTTTTGGGATTTAATGGAATTTGATGGGACTTAATGGGGTTTACTGGGGTTTGCTGGAATTTAGTGGGATTGAATGGGGATGAATGGGGGTTACCCACTAATAATTGATATAATCCCAACACCCCCCCGGTTCGTATAAAAAAAAAACTCTTGTAAACACCCGCCCAGAAACAGTGGTGGATGCATGGGGTGAAAACATGGGATTACATGGGATTACTGGATAACATTGAATCGATGGCTAGTAAAGATGGACCTCTGACATATCTCGATCATTGATTGTAGAATCATCCCCATTCTCATTAAAATGATGTTCCCCCTTTTTGTTGGCTCACCTTCATCGAACTGTTCCAAAAATGCTCATGCGCTGCCTCCGCTTGCTTCGCCGGCTTCTTCGGTTTCTCATCTTCTTTCACACCTGTCTGGAAATAATATCATCATCATCATCATCATAGTCATGGAATCCCTACCACTTTTTGAGAAAATCCTTCTATTTGCGAGAGTGCAGCCATGTATATAATTCCATAAGAACAAGCTGAGTCCCAAATCTTTACTTTTGAATCCAGACTCATCCTGCCACGGAAAAGTTAAATGTGGGATTGCCCCTCACCGTGGACACCCCAATAGGTGCCTCTCAAGCATTTCAGCTGCCGCAAGGCTTCAACAACACGCACTTCCTGACTACCTGCACAGCAGCCAATGGAGATTTTTCATTCGCTGACAATGGTCTAGTATGGTTTATTGATGTTTATTGTGAGTGTATTCATTGGCCAATCAAGTTGGGTGCATCCGAAGATTTGGGCGGGATTTAGAGATATGTCATTGATTACATCATTGGCGGATCTTGATGGGGCAGCATGGACTCTTTGTTTTTTACTTCTCTTATATCAATGGGGCCCATTGTAACAAGTAGATCCAACAAGAAACGATAATTATTTCTGGGGGTATGAAGATCTCAGGGGAACGGGATGCAATGACCCGAGTCAATAGGCAAAAAGAAAAGATTGGACACAACAACAAGCAGATCTGTTGTGGATATCTTGTTGATATTCCTGCTCAAGGCAATAGAAACCAAATCATACAATCACCATCTTTTCTGGACTAGAAACCCATCAATTTAGTCCTGACTAGGTCTCGCTACGAGAGGATTTTCACGCATTTTCTATCAGTCTATGACTTGATATATCACCTACTCAGTAGGATGAGCATTTTTGGTATCAGTCTTCAGACATCACCCCATCCCAGGCTGCCTTGCAACTGAATCAGCTGTTGCCCGGATTCGTGCAGGACAGTGCCTCCTATGCCCAACAAACTGGTCAAGGTCGAACAAAGCATCCTCAGAGCTGTGGACAAACACGGTTTGGGTCCAGGCCAGATGCTTCTGGCGGAAAGGGACTCCTTATCGAACTTTCATGTGTACTGTATGTATATATCGCATTCACATAGATATATGTTCAATGTTAGTCTAAATAGAAGACATCCGTCCACAGTTTCACTGAGGGTGCCACGAACCATCTCCCCTGACATTGCTCAGGATTGTCACCTCCCGTTTCTGATTCAGTGGTGCAACGGAAGATGAAACATCCAAAACTACGACATACCAGTGATATACTATGGAAAATGTAAACGGTATAGTATGGTATACTATATATATATACTATGGAAAATGATATAGTATCGCTTATATATACTGGATATAACTGGATATACTATGGAAAATGTAAACGTCGCTTATAGTTATCATTTATACTCATTATTTTGTTGGTCAATCATCCCCCACAATAAATTCATAGGTTAGTGGTGAAACATTCCATCATCGTACCCCAAATCATCACTGCCATCTCTTTTGTGATTCCATCCCAAATTATTTCATTGTCACTATTTATGTCAACCCCGGGTAACGATTAAACCTCTTAGGCTATTTAATTGGGGTGTAACCATTTTAGTATTTTTCGGGGTGTAAATCCCTATTTTTGGACTAACCGATAAATTGTTTTTTTTTGAAAAACTGGTTCAAAATGTTGTTTGTGATCAATCAGGTTTCATTGAAGTTACTTCACACTACAATCCCATATTTTCATAGATTTTCATAAATTCTCATAGATTTTCTCAAAGAAACCCGGCAGTGCCCTCACCGGAGTTTCTGTGGCCACCTTTTTGCCCTTGGCGCGGGATTCCACTTTGATGGGCACAGCACCTGGCAGGGATTTGATGATGAGATGAGTCGCCAAAAACGACCCTCTGGTAAACTAACATAGCTATGGAAAGATCCACCATTTTCAATGGGAAAATCCACTATTTCTAATTTCTATGGTGATTTTCCATAGTTTTTTATGTTAGTTTACCAGAGGGTACATTTCACCATTCCCAACCAGACTTGACCAAGGCCTTTCTTGGTGGAATCCACTGCAAAGCCACATTCGGGCAGCGGACGTCTGTCGGATGCCATGGCCCCATGGACTCACTCACCACTTCTGGAGGATTGCTGCGATGGCAACACCAAATCTGTTCCATCCAACTGCTCTGCCATTTGTTCACTTGCAATTGCAAGTGAGATGATGGTGCGATTTTTTTTTTAAACGAAAAGTGTTACAATTCGATGGTGTCATCTGTAAAAAAATCCTTGCCAAGGCCAAAACAATTGCACTCAGTTGGACTGTTGTCGATAATTTCACAATGTATCCTTCGAGTTTGCAATGCTGCATCTGACTTCACGATGATTGTCACTTAACCAGATACCCAAAGTTGTTTGAGACTTAGTGCGCCACCTTTTTGTGAATTGACCTTGAAGGCCTGCACCTATGATCACTTCTATTGGGTTCTGATGACTTGGGACGATGCCTTTTTTTTTCAACTGATGATTTGAGGGTTTGTTTTTCAGAAGAGGTACCCATGGGGGATGGAGACGTGCATATTGTAACAATGCGTGTTTTTTTTGCCCTTTCTGATCAGAACGCCTCCATTTGCTCATCTACGTTCACTTCACGAGTTCTTGAAATGTTACTTTCAACCGAAAGTGAACCCATGGAAAAAACAAAAACAAAAAAAAACTCACCCCATGTCCCCTGTCCAGCTTCTCAGACCCTCTCTATGGGTCGATTTTTTGTTTGTTTTCTCGGGGGTTTTGCCACTTTGTCAGTCTAACAATGTCAGTTGTTCATTTTGTTTTGTTTTCTGTTTTGTTGATGTTTGGGTTCCTGGGAGAAATTTTCACCCTGACAAACATCCATTGGCACAGTCTTCACACCTCCACATTTTATATTGATGTAGTCATTGAATTTGATTTGGGCTACTGGGCCATCGGAGAAACGTATCGTAAAAACCGTTTTATCACCCACATCTTCAGGCACTCCATTGGATTAGTGTTTTATTGGTATGCCGAGGTTTTGGTTCCTTATCTTTAAAGGTTTGGTTCGTGCTCTTCAAACCTGGAATCACTAAAAGTGATATCTAACAGAAAACATTTGTTTTCAAAAATGGATTGTTTAAGCAACACTTTGTTGTACAAAAAATATGTTTGTCTCAAAGCGTTTGCTCCTTCAAAAAGGCAATATTGTATCCCTCACGACAAGATTCCTCTAAAGAAGGATGTCGTTGTCCTTTGGAAGAAGCAAATACTATTTTGTAGAATGCCGCATTAATTTTTTTGGCAACTATTGCATGCCACAAATACAGCATTTCCTGACGAAATGGTGGTATTCCTTTGAACAGACATGTTCATTTTAAACGTCCAATTTTTCATTGTACAATCTTATAGGTTGAAAGAAGCAAAAAATTTTGTAATCATGCATTATCTATTGAAAACACTAGTCTACAATGTACTAATTTTCAAACAAAATGTATGGTTGAAGTAGACAACAATATTTTCAAAACGAATCCTTCCTCCTCCCACTAGTCAGACATCACTCCTATAAAAATGAACCATATGCCATCAACAGTGTGTCCACACTGAGGTTTCTTACGGTAAGTGTAAAAAGGCCGGTGCTTCATCAGGGTGCTCCAGCTGGGCCGCGGCATTTTTCCTGTACAGTAAATTTTGGTATAAAGCGGTTCTTGTGACATGTTGAAGTGCATTCGACTGCGCAGGCTCGCACAAAGTCTGCGCCGCGTTTCTGGACCGCGGCATTTTTCCTGAAGTTTCCACAATGCCTCTTCATTTCCTCTTTGGAACCTTCGAGCTGTGAAGCATAGAAGTGGATCCCATCATGGGTAGCCTTGATGGGCTGATTGAGCTGCTCAAGGCCATGGTCCATGTTCCGGTGATTAGCCTCCAATTGACTTGAAACATATTGCTGATCACCCAGCAACTCATTGGAATCACTGAGTGCCAATACAGCCTGTCAGTTCCAGCGCGCACGTCCCCAGGGTCTCCTGAATAAACTGTTCCTTGCGTCCTCTTCAAGTCAGGACCTTCTTCAGCATTTTCCCTCTCTTCCAAACCATTTCCAGTTCCACCAGGAGCACAATCTCCTCGGTAGCCCCAGGCACACCACGGACATCCGCAGGAGGAACCTCTTCCGACAATCGAGAAGTGCACAGTGGACTCTACGAGACAATCGTTTTGGGATATTGAAAAGCATCTGGCTATGCAATAACGACACAATCCAATCAAAACTGCATGAATCCACAACTAAAACCAACCACGGTTGCAACACTGTATGCTCCTATCCAGAGGAGCGTTTGCAGGAAACTCACCACCAAGAAACCCACAGACATGAATATTTGAGTCCTATCCAGAGAGCTCGCAAGTCATTGGTCCCCAAAACACGAGGCGTTTTCTCCCATCAATTGCCCACCCTTTCAAAAACTGTTTCAGCCTCAGACATACCTCGAAGAAAGTTTCATCGGTGGCTCATGTCATCATCTGGAAGAAACCCAAAACACTTTAGGGGTAGACAAGCAATAACCTAGCGATGAACCGACGCAATGAAAATCCATAAGCCATGGCATAATTCTTTCCCTTCTTGAGGAGTCCGGAATCACCTGGCAAACTTGAATAGCATATGCTGACTGCAGTCGCAGTGATGACAGGTAACCGATGTCACAAAATCAGATGAACAATAAACTGCAGACCCTTGCAAAACGACGTGAGCACGCGTCCCTGACAGTCGGTCAACGTGGTCCTGCGTGCAAATTCACCCAAAAACAAACCATTCAGTCCCAGATCGTCCCATGTCAAGTCCAGTGCAAAATCCAAAACCGAAGTTAAACAATATCCACAACAACTCACAAATCACAAATCACCACAGCGCACGAAGCTTGCGTCAATTTGCAACAGCGATCCGTCACGAGCTAGAAACAACCTCGTTGAGAAGCCTTTGCAACTCCACTCCATAGATATCTATTTCAAGCTGTGTGTCCTCAGCGCTTGCCAAAGGTGAGCCGGCCAAAGGGCAGCCAACGAGTATCCCAGTGGCATGGCGTCTGTACTGCTGGTCGCTGCGGATAACAGCTTCGAGCACGAGTAGCTACAATATCTTAGGGGCACATGGATTCTCACAAACAAGAAAAATGCCTTCACCATGAGCATTTTGATTCACAAACTCTTCCAAACTCTCTCATCATGGCGACAACAAGTGCAGTGCAGTCTTGAAACTTGACACAGCAATCAAGTGTGAGTCCGACGGGCAAACTGAAGTAAACTACCAAGAGGCGTATCGAAACGTCGCAACCACAAATCAGGATATGTCAAACTTGAAAACAGATCCATTGAGCCGATGCATAAACCCCCACAGAAACTGCAAAACAAAGTACAATTTCCCTTTTTCTCTGTGTAAGAGTCTTAAATATCTTTCCAAGTCACCCTTTTACGCTGGACTCTGAACGCTCAAGCAAAAACCAAACCTGCACTTAGCAAAGGCTGCTGATGGCTACATCGTCGCACATCGCCCATGGACAAGGAAATAACAAGCAAAAGCCTATTGGCCGACTATTGGCCCTTCTATTTCTCCATGGATACACATCAGCCTGCACCTGAAAGTCATGCTGCTATAGCACAGCAAACCTCTCAGGTGAACTTGCGCACCATTCCAATGAAACGATACAACCATCGGCCCTGATTATCAACTTCTTCACTGCGAATTGGATTCCTCATGTACCCGAGGGCGAAATCTCGATCTGAATAGCAAGGTAATCCTTGGGGTGACTCTCGCTCTTCTCGCCTTTCTGCTTCCACTCAATGAAGCTCTTGGCCCTCAACTGCTTTCTCCACAGAAACTCGCAGCCCTGAATCACCTCGTTGCCGGATTCATGTCTTCATACTGCAAGCAATCCAGAGGAAGAGGCCTCCATGGTCACAGCAGAGAGAAAGAGGTGCAACAGAAAACTATTTCCACACAGGTTCACAAGATGCTCTCTGAGCCAAGATCACCAGTATCACAATCCTTCACAACTGATCACAGTCACAATCCATCCAACAAGTAAACTGTCCTCAGCTGGCTCAAAAACGTGTCTCAAACCAAACGTGACATCCGTTGCCCGTTACATGGCGAAACACAAAAAAACTCATCGAAATAAGTTCCCACAGACAACCTGAAACAAACAGATCAAAGCATCACTCAGCTTACAAACCTACGATGAAGTGCAAGTCGTCCAGGCCAGTGTTCAACCTCAGCAGGTCTTCCTTAAGGTAACGACAGTGCCCTAGCTCCGAAGCGTTCCTGGACCCGAAACCCACAGACGATGTAGGAACAACAATGAAATTGGGTTGAGCATGGGAGGTCATGCTCTGGTGGCTGCCACCCGACACTCATGGCTGTTCCATTGCACGCAGTATAAAAAAGACAACAGAACCACGAACTCTGCTTTCGCAGCGCAAATGTTATCCACATATTTTTCGGGAAACCACAAGGAAGGAAGGACTCAACTTCTGCATTCCAAGCATGAAATGTCCACAGACGGACAGGTTGAAAGACACAGGCAAACTGGTACAATTTCTTTTTTTCCGTCCATCGCCTCTGAGCTTTCGCCAGGTCGATCAAAACACAGTGCATGAAACGAATTAATTGCAACAATTGGGTCGTGATACAACAGCCAACACGGCGCATCAGCGAACTCAACCGTAGTGCTGGCATAGGGACCGGCTACACAGTCCTGGATGGCAGTCACAATGCCGAAAACCACACACAACAGAATAAAAGCAAAACAGCCAAAAACAGAAAAAACAACACACTCAACAAAAAACAAAGCACACCAAACGCAAAACCGGCATTGTGAACATAGCCAGCTCAGTTGGAGAAAAGAGATGTCTTATGCATCATTACAGAGTCATCAGTATGGCGTGAAAAACCAATCAAAACACGGCAAAGAGCCAAACACATCGCCAAAACCACAAAAAGCAGCCAGAGTGCGAGAACCCTGCGCCAATGCTTTTGGTTTGGTTTATTTGGTCGTTGCTTTTGTTTGTTTTGTTTTTGGTTGGTTCTTTTGATTTGATTTGGCATTGAGGCG